GGGGGGAGGGTGTTCCAGTGTATCTCATCCCAGGGTAACAGGGGGCAGCAGCAGTGGTAGAGAAAGGAGAGGAGCTAACACAACATTGACCTCTGTTTTTTGAGTTCAGTCCGAAGACAGTTGCTGTCAGGGGCAGTTTTTGCATGGGCTTTGGACTAGGTCCACCGTGTGGCTGTAGCCAGAGCTGCCACACATGTTTTGTGGGTGTGTGCAAGATGTGTGCAGCAACAGCAGTTCCTTGTGGCAGCTATTCCTTGGGAAAACTGTGTCACACAAAATGTGCATGAAGGCTGCAGGGTTGGGAACCCAAGCACCTCTTGGCCATCATGACTGGCCTAGTAGGTTGAGCTCCCTTAAATGTCTTTTTTCTGTGGACCCATACTTTTTGATTTTTGCCTGCATGGTGGGACAGCTTCAGTGGGAGGAAAAGGGTGAATGACTGGGAGGGTGAACGAATGACATACTTTGGCCAGTTCGTACCTTTGGGAAGCTGGAGACGAGGATTTGAATTCCCTGAGAGGAAGATGAGATCATCCCACAGCCAGAGCATCCTCCTTAACTGGAGAGAGACAGCACAGCAGGGAATGATGCCATGACCTCCCGCTCTCTCAGAGAGAAATAACCCTGCCCCAGTTTTGGAAGAAACTCTTACAAATGGGCATTTGCTGGGACAAGACATATTTTCTCCCTCCCTGTTGTGGTTTAACCTCAGCCGGCAACTGAGCACCACGCAACCGCTGGCTCACTCCCCCATGGTGGGATGGGGGAGAGAATCAGAAGGGTAAAAGTGAGAAAACTCGTGGGTTGAGATAAAAACAGTTTAATAGGGAAAGCAAAAGCCGCACACACAAGCAAAGCAAAACAAGGAATTCATTCACTACTTCCCATTGGCAGGCAGGTGTTCAGTTTTATGCAAGTTCAGTCTATTACTTAATATGAAAAGCACAGGCTGGAGATGGGCCAGGAGATGTGTAAGACGTGTCATGAAAAAAAGCTGGAATTAATGTCTGGGTCTCATCAATCTCAGCTTGTATTTGTGATGAAGACAGTGCAAAGTGAATATACACCTTAAATAAGAAAGGGAAAGTCCTTGACTAGTATAAACACTACCTAGCAACAACTGAAACATCGGTGTGTTATCAACATTGTTCTCACCCTAAATCCAAAACACAGCACTGTACCAGCTACTAGGAAGGAAATTAACTCTATCCCTGCCGAAACCAGGACACTCCCCTACTGGCAGCACAGAATTAGGCTCCTAAGATCTGCAAAAGGTAGGATTAAAGACTTTTAAATCTCACCCCGAGACATATGCCATTCCACAAACGCTAAGCACAGAGCTCCTACCTTGGTGTTGTAGCATTGCAACACTCAGTAGCATAACACTTCAGCCCCTTCGTAGCTCTGATGCTAGGAGAACATCCTGAGATCTACAGAAACATTTGCCATTCTGTAGCCATCCAAAGATCCATCGTCCAGGTCACCAAAGATCCATGGCCTCTTCTCCTTTGTGGACCTGGAAGAAAAGTGGCAGTGAGAGTGTCCATCAGGGTAAATTGCGAGGGTCTTGCTCAAAGGTGTGTGGAATCTCCATCCTCCAAAATAGTCAGAAGTTGACGAGATTAGTTGCTGAGAAACCAGTCCAATGTGAAATTTAACATCCCTTTGAGCAAGGGTTGGGATGAGAGGCGTCCAGGGGTCCCCTCCAGCCTCAGTTATTCTGAAATTCTAAATTTGCTCTTGTCATTTTGAATGGTTCCTTTGCTCATCCATGAGGAATACTAAGAAAAATAGAGGGGGGGTGGGGTGAGAGAAAGGGCTTTAAAACCCAACCCCAAGCACTCAAAAGGAGACACCGAGAGGTTGTAAGGGCTCAGTTTTCTTTGTTTTAAACAGGATCCGGGCACAGTCCACAAAACTGCTTACTATTATTTTTTAAACAAGAAAAAAGGCATGGTGCTGGAGTGCTGAAAAAAAAAAAAATTAGAGTACAATACAGGGAAGTCTGGTTATTGCAGGAAGAATAGCAGAATAAAATGTAATCAAATTGATCCAAACCGTGAAAACATTAATAACTGTGTTCAAAATTCACTGAGTGGTAGGTGGCAGAGGGAGCCTGGGGAAAACCATCTTACAGGCAGGATCACAATGCTTATTATTGACACTAGATGTCAGCAAGTGAATGCTGATTGCTGCCCGCTTGCTGGTTGCGTTTCCGGAGAGACGATGCAAAGGATGCGCTGCCTCACTAACCGAAGCAACACAGGCACTATTGCTTTGAGGCCAGTAACAAGACAACCCCTCTCTCCCCTGCAGTGGATTTTGGTTGTGTGCAGCCTTGCAAATCTCACCAGTCTAGTTGCAAAAGTGTTTCTATGTCAATGAAGTATTTACAAGAAAACGTTACTTTTTGCATTAAAAAAAAAATAAAATAAAATGTCCTTTGCAGGCTGCTTAAATCTGTGAGTGTTTGCTGAGCTATTTGTACTCCCTGAGACAGGCAGGGAGTATTCAGCCTGTGCGCATCTACATGTGGCATTGGTGAATCTGTATCTAGAGCAAGATGCTTTCCAGATGGCTTTCCCCTAATGTTTAGGGGATTGCACACCCCCACCGTTTAGGACGTGAGTGGATTTATTAAGTGCAGTTAGTCCAGTCTCACCTCATGGTTTACGCGCTGCTGTTTGCCCAGGGAAGTTTGCCACTTGGCGCTTGCACATCTAGTGCTCAGACCTTTCTTTCACAGCCTCGTCCACGTGGAAGAGGTGGCGAAGAGACTTTGGGGATGTGGGACCACGAGCCGTGAAGGAGATGGGAGGGATAGGTCTGCGGTGCCCCAGGGCCCCTTCGGTGCAGTGGCTGGTTCAGCCAGGTTGGACGCTTGTCTGACATTTACCAGCGTTGCTCGTGGACCGGGTGATGAGAAGTGAAGAGTTCAAGCTGCATTTCTTCTGTTACAGCACGCTGTGAAGCAGAAACGCCTCCCCTCCGGCACTGTGGGATGTCGGGTGGCAGCTTGCCACCTGGGGTTTCAGCACTAGGTCATGTTGTGTCTGGCCTGCTTAAGATTAGAGATGTTCACGTGGGAATCCCCAACCGGTCCATCTAGCTTACTCATGTGATCAAATCCGTAGGGCAAGGCTCTGCAGGTAGGAAATGTGACTTCTTTCCCATTTAGCAGGCAGTTTTCTAAGACACGAGGAACCGCTGGTCTCAGCAGGATCCATCCATAAGCCTGCCCCATGGGGTCTTCCTTAGGAACGGGTGTTGAGCGGGGTTGCAGCAAGGTTTCGGTTTGATCATTGACAAGAGCTGGGCACGTTAAGTACTGAAATGTGCTCAATCCGGAGCACAAGGAATAGGAACGCAAGCCTAGACTCCTTTATGAAAACTGTTGTCTTTTGCAAGCTGCAGAAAAATCAAATCAGAACAGAGCTAGAATTTGAGTTTCACCCTTAAAGCTTCAGAAAATCAAAACAATTAAATAAAATTAACATAACCACACTCCCTTCAAGGAAAAACAAAAACAAAACAAAAAAACCCAAACCAATCCACAAGCCTTTAAAGGTCTGGTAAAGAGATAACTGGCTTGATCCCGAGAGCTCTCCCCTTCTCTTGTTCTTGCTTTGTTGCTCGTGTTGCAGCGCTGTTGATGAGTGCAAATACAGCTGTGGATTCTGTTCAGCTCAGGTTAAATTTACAGAACACATGGTTAATGTCTGTGGGATTGAATTGTGCTCCTGTGAAAGATGGGAAGACTGGCAGGAAGCTTGAGGCAGGTGAGAAAATAACTGAATATTCCTATTATATGATATTAGGGTAGCTACCATATATAAATTTTGCAGTAAGCCACTACCCAAGATTGTATGTTTGACATTGGGGTGAGGGTAAAGAAGGCACCTTTAAAAGGAGGTGAACTGATAAGAAGATCCGTCAGGGAAAAAGCTGAGTCTGATTTGCTTGGTTGCATCAGCGTGCTTGGAATAACAGGCCTGGCTTTAGGGCTTCGATGTAACAGCTCTTGGGATCTTTGTTAGCGAGTCCTGGACCTACCGTTAGCCAGATTACGTTGGTAAAAGTGTATGTTTAGGGAAGAGGATTTAGATTAAAGGCTAGAAATGAAATGAGGCTGGTTTAAAAGGAAGAGAGACATGGCTTGGTGGAGCTTTTTATATAGGGCAAGACGATAGAGAGGAATGAGTTTTGGTTGCAGCAGTGCAGAGGTGCCAAGGAGATGCACTGAGCTAGGACCAAGGGGGACTTTAGCCAGGGAAGTGGGGTGATTTGTATGAGTAAATGCAGAAGATACGATGAGGACATGTCGTGGCAATTGAAACCTGAGTAGAAGAGAGGGCCTCTGATGTTTATTGTGGAGATCAAACCAAATCCAAATGATCCCTTCTGTCCTTCAAATCCAGAAATGAAATTAAGAAAGAGGGGAAAAAAAAATGCATATTGATTACACAGCAGGAACGTTCTGACAGTGAGATCTATCAGGCAGTGGAATAGATGCTTGCAAAGTCGCCTCTTGGGACTTCTGAAACTCGGCTGTGCGAAATGAATGTCTCCTAGGGAGCAATTCTTCATAGGCAGAGGTTGGACTTGATGACCTTAACAGGTCTCTTTTTTCCTCTCCTTTTCCTTTTTATTTATTTTTTTTAAACCTTTGTCTTCCCTGCTAAGCACATGTTAATGTTATGCTCTGCAGTCCGTTTTGTGAGTGGTGGATAACTGGGGATGTGCGGTTTGGCACTGGGACTCCTCGGGCAGTTGTTCAATCAATCTGCAGCTGCCCTTGGAACTCCTGTAGGTTTTAGCCTCATCACACGTCCGGCAGTTGTTATTAAACAGTGACCCAGAACAAAGCCCTTGTGCTGAGCATCCCAGGATCCAGAGTATCTCTCAAAGACAGGGCTGGGGGCAGCCAGTCCCTAACCCATTATCAACATGCAGAGATTTGGCTGCCGTTGTGTCTGATCTCAAAAGAGAAGCCGTAATGGGATGAATGCGTTCATCTCAGTGATGGGATTGTATTACACGTGATTAGCAAGTTTTATCTGTATAGGGAATATAAAGCAAAAAGAAGCTTCATTCTGGGGTTGAACACTAACCAATTAAGCAGGGAGAAGAATTGTGTTGCAGAACAGACAGACTATCCTTTTAGGACATACTAAGTGTGTTGCAATCTTTAGTTGATATTTTTTCTTACTGTTGTGGCAGGAGATAAGGGCACCAATAATGCCAAGAGATATTTGCATTTAATGGTCAGAGGAAGGGGGATGAAAGGCCCAGACTACCTCCTAACTGAGAAAAGTATTAAATCTTCTGGGAGCAGGGGAATAGGAGGACCTCAGAGATCCCCAAAGAAGGAATCAAATTCGACATCTCCTTGAATTTTTTTTGTCCATCAGATGGACAGGAGCTGTAGGGTGTGGAGACAAGGTCCCTCCCTCCTTCCACCTGAGAGGGAGAAAGTGGTCCTAGGCTTGATTCTGGGGTGTATAGCTTAAGCAGGGTTTTCCTGGATTTTGCTTCCACCTATCTCTTTACAACCCTTTGCAACCATGTTCTTTGGCTTAGATTTTATAAATGAATAGCTTCATTTGCCTTGTTTGAGTTAAAAATTATTTCAGCAGTTGGCAGGATGCAAGGCCTTGTGTTCCTACCGGCATGATAACATTGAGGGCATTGGAGCACGTCAGAAATGCCTGATTTCCACATAACTTTTCAGGGGTATCCAAAAAGCGACAGGCTGGTCTGCTGAGCTCTAAGGGCTGTGCAGGAAATATCTTCTGGTGACCTACATTAGCCAGGCAAGTTCTTTGACAGCAGCAAGGTATCGAGGAAAATATTCACGTCCTGAGATTCTGAGAGTAATTTCTAACATCCATCCTAAAATAAGGTTCAGCTGTTTTTCCACCTAGGAAAACTCTGCCATGTTCTTTTCAAGACCACAAAAGAAAACCAAAACCTCTTTTGATTAGCTCAGCAACCTGTTTGTTTTTTTTTTTCCCAAACTGTGGAATGTGAATTTAATCTGCCCTTGACCACCCACCTTCAGAGAGTGCTCAAACACTGGAACAGGCTTCCTAGAGAAGTGGTCAATGCCCCATGCCTATCAGTGTTTAAGAGGCTTTTGGACAATGCCTTTAATAATACGCTTCAACTTTTGGTCAGCCCTGAAGTGGTCAGGCAGTTGGACTAGATGATCATGGTAGGTCCTTTACAACTGAAAATATTCTATTCTATTCTATTCTATTCTATTCTATTCTATTCTATTCTATTCTATTCTATTCTAATGTGCTAATATTGCTCTAGTTGGTTATTCATCTAAGGTAGCTGGATGTTCTCCATTACCACATCTGAGCTTATCACAGCCTTTTGTGTCACTAGTAGAATAGAAAAGCAGAAGGACCTGTTATACCCTATTACAAATGGGGAACAAATTCTTCTGTCCACAGGAAAGTTGAGGGTTTGTGGCGGAAGTAAAGGGCAGTGCCATTGCTGCTTGGATGTCCTTCATCTTTGCTAGTTTTGAGAAGTTCTCAGCCTCCCACTGGCTGAAAAAAAAGCATACATGCCATCTCTTTTGGAGAAATTCCTGTAATGAATTCGTTCTGCTGCAAGTTGTTGCAAAGGCAAGTTCTTGGTAGCATTTAGTCCTCTTGGATGGTATTCATTTGCCAAAACACAGATATCTAGTGCCACTTAAAATACCTTTGGAATGGCAGCCTGGGCTCCAGGAAGACACAAGGCTTCTGTGGGAGCTATAGGACAGCTCAGGTGGCTCTAGACATAATTTCTGGACAATAAAAGCAAAATATAGGCATGGTGCCATCATTCCTTCAGGCTTCTCTGTCTATTACTTGTCTCTCTCATGTTTATATGTAGGTCTTTGAGCCATGGATTATGTTTGGCTGTGTTTGAATGGATGCTGAGCAAGAGAATTGTCGCTGGATATGGAGAAGGAAAGAGATTAAGCATATTGCAATATGTGTGAAGATGTGGGTAACTTTTTTCTTATTCTAAATCCAGAGAAGAAAAATACAGAAAATTTGTGAACTCTCTTTCTGAAGTTCAGAGCAGATGAAATACTACGTTTTAATATTTCAAAAAATACCTTAAACATTAAACAGTTATAAACTTTTCAAAAATACTTCATATGAAATAATCATTTTTAGCAAAAAGCACTAAACCTTTTAACATGGGAAATATAGCATTTTCATATTTTTACCATTTCAAAAATCATTTTCAGAATTGTTTAGGAGCCAGGACATTCATTGACAATGACACTTTCCCAGCAAACAAGATACCTTTTGAACAAACTGGACTTTAAACAAACAAACAAACAAAAAATCCTTTCTTGATAAATTCCCATTAATTGCACTGCTGATATTTGAGGAACACTCTTGGATACTACAGTGCAGAGTGTAATACTCTCCACAGACCTTTTCAGGAGTTCATTATGACTGTTTTATTAGTTCAGGATTAATGAAAATTCTCCAAAAGTCTTTACATGCTCAGGGTTTTGAGAGAAACTGTTTTGATCTCTGGCATGGTTTAATGCTTAAAGGATTCCTTTTTTTTAAAAATTGTTAAAACCAAATATTTCAACTGATCTGAACTTCAGTGACAGTTCACGATTTTTTTTAAGCATTTTTGTCTGGGTTTAGAATAAGAAAACCTAATTTCTGTTCACACCACTTGTTGCTTAAATACACCTCAAAGCAAAGCAGCTGCTCCCATTACCCTTCCTACCACATCCATAGAGTCAAACTCGGACTAAGTCTCTAGTCACACTCAAGTACAAAGCAAGGTGAACTGGGATCTCCCAGTTCACACAAGTTCTCCAGAAGCCCTCCAAGCTGTGGCAATGCTTTCACTAAACCTATGTCTGGATTTCAAAGCTGTGATAGACCTTAAGTTGTCATATATCCCTGGTAAAATATTTGTGCCTTACTCCTGATCTGTAAACCGTGGTCCACTTTCCCCAGAAGAAATGTCTGTGCTCTTATTTAATCACTTATGTCACCTCCTTCTGGATGGAGCAATTTGATCCTAAAGACCATCCTGATGCTCGATGCACAAAGGAGATTATATGCTTGCTCACACAAAGCAAAAGGGTCTGAAGGAGTTGCATGGAGACCTACTCATCCTCAAAAAGGATGAACTAAAAAAGAGGTTGGGACATGCACATCAGGAATCCACAGTGACAACTGTCAGTTGCTAAAAATCTGCTTAATGTCAGTGGTGTGTAGGCTGCTTTGGGTTATTTTTTCCCCCCTCTTGTCTTTGCAGCATCTTTGGCCATTCTCTGTGGCCTGACACATTCTTCTGCTGACTGCCGAGAAGACAGAGCCACCTTCATTGAATGTGATGTCCAAGTAACGGTGGATTCCTATCACCAGAGAGGATCTGTGTCTTACCTGTATGTCTGTGAGGACAGCCCACCTCAGTGGCACTGGAGGGACATCAACCCACCCCAGAGGCATTTTGCTGGACTCTTTGCCAGGTTAGTACTGCTTCTCTCCAACAGCTGGGTGGGCCCATCCATAAGCAACATCCTCCAGAAGGTATTCCACCTTTTGCAGAATTAACCCCTGCCAAATGATGGACTGAAGGAGCAAATTTCTAATTCTTAGGTTGATGCCAACAGAGCAATTTAGTCTTGAGACCACTAGAGAGCTCCGCTGGGTTGTGAAATTCATTCCTTGTGTCTATCAAAGAATCTCTAGTCCCCCCTCCTTCCCTCCCATCTTTTTAAAGTGTTTGAGAGACATCAGAAAATCCATCTTGTAAACAGCCTGCTTTGTTCCTTCTTAGGTTTTAATATTTATCTTCTGATCCAAAGCAACATCTGGTGGATGCCAATGGGGAAAAAGATTAGGCATTATGAAAAGCAGAAGGTTTTTTTTTTTTTTCCTTCTTTTTTTTCCCCTTCCTCTCTCCAAGCAGTTTCATGGTAAAAAGTTGCAGAGAAAATTCAGCAGGCTGTATAATATTTACTCAGCAAGGGTGCTCAGGCACTTACTCAAGGCTTAGGCTTTGCAAATCCAAGGCCAAGTTGCCCAGGAGTATAAAATGGTACTGTTGCTTTTAATGGAGCTGTGGGGATTTATACCTGCAGAGCATTTACTGCTAGGAGTAAGAGGGAGGCCTGAATTAAGGAATAAACAGATGAACAAAACTTTCAAAAGACACTAAACAAATGGAGAATTAGAATATCACTGCAGTGCATTGCCCATGATATGCTGTACACGGTGAACCCCTTCCTGGCTGGTGCATGATGATACAGTCCAGGTATTTCAATGGAGTTGCAGGGATTTGGTCCTCATTCTTATCTGGTCCTTTTGTCACAGCTGGTGTTGTGACTCACCAGAGGGAGTTCCGGAAGCCCCGTGCTGAGGGAAGAAAAGCAACTGGCATTTACTAAACAAAGACAGCAAGATATGAGTTGCACAATTTTTTTAACTTGTCTTTTTTTAAAAAAAAAAGGTTTACACAGTTACAGCATCTGCCTGTCTGTCAGTTCCTCCCCACCAGCTTTTGAGCTCTGATTAATTTGACCTGGGTGTCATGAAGGATGGACATCTTTAGAATTATGAAATTCTTGTCAGTTTTGAGAAAAACTGTGTTAGGCAAAAAGAAATTATTTTCCTGTTGAGGGAGAGGAGGGCAGAATTCTGCCCTAATCTGTTGTTTGCCAGCAAACTGCAGGCCAGACAGCAGATACGTGCAGCTGGCCAACTGACGTGTCTGAAGTCACATTGTGCATTGGTAATATCCTCTAACATCCTAGGAGATGGGGAGGACAGTTTTGTTGGGGGAGACAAGAGTAGGGAGACTTGGGGGGGTGGAATAATCCTGAAATTAAACTAATTTCATCAGTTCTATTGCTCCCAGAATGACTTGTTTCAAAACAAGAAGCTCCACGAGCCTTGTCTTGTCTAGCTGAACTTCGCTTTCCTTTTGCTCACATCAGTGTAATCCCAAACCAGGTAACCAACAAACTTGAGAGCAACAGGGCAAGCCAACATCTGTCCCTTTGGTTTTTTGCTTCCTGTTCCCTGGATATCAAAATCACGCTCAGCTCTTTACTGATAAAAACGCACCTGCAATGAGTCTATTCCTATGATTGTTTTTCCTCTTGCTCCTTTTCTTGGTTTGGGCTGCTACAATTCTGCTGCTGTAGCTTCTCCATCCTGGTCTCAGCAGGGTGAGCAGAGAGGGAGGTCTGTGCCTGTGGTTATCCTGTGGACAGAAAAGTCATGCAGTCCATTTGCTGACTGCTTCCTTATTGTTTTTCACTGTGGTATTGTCCAATTTAATTCTGAATGTCCCAGAGACAGGGTTTATTATTCCTGCAGGAAATCCTATCAGGGAGATATTTCTAAATCAGATCAATCAACTTTTTCTTACGTATTATTTTCCCATTCTTCCAACTTCTTAAACCTCTTTGTTATTGTCATTAACTTTTCCCCCTATGGTGCTCATGTTTGTCTAGTAGTTATAAATTAAAACTTGGGCTGCTGAGGAATTTTCCAGAGTACTGATGTTTTTTCTGGTGAATCTATTTCTAAACTGGGACTTGCTGAACGGGAGCAGGGGCAAAGAAGATTGTTTGATTTCAAATGAGTTTCCTGATCTGAAAAATCTGGGGAGAAGTAGAGGAAGAGAGAGTTTAAAGTCATCCAAACTGCCTATTTCAGAGCTTTTGAAAACATTTTTTTCAAATTTCAGTTCAGAAAAATGTTTAATTTCAAAATATTAATGGAATTTGTAGCAAAGTGTTAGAAAATTAAAATGTTCAAACTAGAAAAGAACTGTTTTGGGAATTCCTGAAATAATACACATCGATTGCTGTAACTAATAATAGTAACTAATAATAACAATGATAAGAAACATATGGATTGAGTTCTGTGCAAATGTTCAAGACTTAAGACATTTGTCCCAAGATGGGGACAAAGCTACTGAAATAATTCCTGACTTAACTACACATTAAATCTCTCATGTTCTCTCTTGCTAGTTTTACAGCGGTTTGAATAAAGCTTCTCCTAATCTAGTCTGTACTATAGCCTATACTTTATGAATATATAATGGCAAATGCATATTCCTTACAAGAGGTGCAAGTCTTGCCGTTAACAACACTGGTACCAAGATACAACCCTGAATTCCCTTTAACACGTCACCCCTCCTTTTCTTGCATTTCCTTTAGACACTGCAATTTGTAAACAGTTTTCCAGCATCAAGGTTTTGGGATGCAGTTACTAGAGGACAGGGAGGAATTGGCTCTTTGCCTACAAGCAAAGCTTGTTGACTTTTTGTAAAAAGACGTGGACAACCACTCAGAGGTCCTTGTATTGACTTCAGCGCCTGGCTGAAGTCGGGCCCGTGCCCTGCACCTAGCCAACAACAACCCCCTTCTGCCTTTAAAACAGTTGGTTATTTAAAAGATGCAGCTTTTTCTTGCGGCACTAAAAAGAAGTACTATGCAGTCTTGAAAGATAGCCCAGTCCATTGAATTATTGTACAGGACAAGAGCAGTTCTCAAAGTGTTGCTATCAAAAGCAAGTGTAGTTCCCTACGGCTGGCTTTTGATTATTGATACAGCAGAGGGAAAGGTTCATTTAAATATAGAAATAAAAATTCACTGTTAAAAAGGTTCAGTTACTTGCAGACAGATTTTTCTTTTGTAGTTTCTAATGTGGCTGCTTCCTTTAACAATTTAACCCTGAAAAAGGGCGAGAAAACAAATACCCCCTAAATGCACTGTCAGAGCAGCTCTTTGTTTGTACAGTGAGCTGCCACATCCAGCACGGTTTGAAAACTTCAGTTTCATCAAATCATCCTGATTGTCACCCTCCCGACAAAGCTCTGAGTGTTGACTTTCCAACTGGGTGGGTTTTGGTAGAACTTAGGCTCCTAACTTTGGCACTTTAGAAAATCCTGTTAGATGGGGCTTTCAGGAACCTGAAGACATCTGAAAATCCTGGTCCTACCTATCTGATCCTCTATTTTGTGAAGTCTCTCCTTTCTTAGCTATTCAGAAGAGTGGTATAATTTCTGAGGTATGTCGGTGTTGCTATAACTCATCTCCTTTCTGCTCTCCTTCCCACAAGCTGCAGGTGTGTATTTGATGGTGGGGTGGGGAGAGGAGGAAGCAGGAGCAATGGCTGGGGAAGGAATGAAAAGAGACATTGGATTATCCTGGCCTGATCCAAAGCCTCTGGAAGTAAATTGGGAAGTTTTCCCCTCATTTTGAGGGATGTTGGATCCTATAGCTCCCCATAACAAGATGCTGCCAAAGTCAGCATCTGTCAGCAGCAAGACCAAGGGAAAAAATGTTTCTTCCCCACCACCTTTTCTATTACTTCTTCCCCCCTATGCAAGGGGAGGCTTTAGAGCAAATGTCTGTTAGTATAACTAGCACATATATCGAATCTGCTTAGTCTGGGCTGTTAAGTAAGTTTAATTAATTTCCTAAGTTAATGTTCCAATGCTAGCAACAAAGCATCATTGCAATCAGCTGGGTAGCAGGAATTGGAACCCCTAAATGAGCTCATTTTTTCACAGTTGGAATTAGGGACCAGTTAGCCAGTTGTGTGGTTTTTCCAATTTCTCCACTTGCCCTAGGGGAGTTGCAAGTTATTCATTCCCTATTGCTAAGTGTGAGTAAGATGGGGAGGGGGGAGACACCAACAAACCCTACTCCATGTAGGAGTCCATCTTTGATCCTAACGCTGCTGATTCCCTAGCTGTTGTCTGCACTTGTCTTCCTGCCTTGGTCCTAGAATGGCATTTGCTACTGTTTGTAATAGTTTGGGGAAGCAGAAAGGCATCACTGAGAGATATTTACTGCATGTATTTTCATCCTGAGTGTGTACAGATAAAGGGGGGAAAAACAAATAAACAATAAAAGAATGGAAACAAAATTACAGAAATTTGCAAAGTTTGACAAATGGTGGCCAGGAGTTGCCACAAGCTAATGGCTTGCAATGATTAATAAGAGTAAAAATAATTGCATTTCATTAAGATTGATGACACCCCATTTAACCTCCCTTCTCGTTTCAGCCCTAAAGTGGAAAGAGATGAAGTTCTCATCTATAATAGCTCCTGTAACATTACCATGGAAACTGAGGCAGAGATGGAGTGTGAGGGAGCTAATCAGCCAATTACCGCCAAGATTACTGAGATATGGAAAAACTGGGGCCAGAACACTCAGGTATAATCAAATCTTTTTTACAGACTGATTCAAACAGCTTAAAATTAAATTTGTAATATTGTGTACATTTAAAGGGGGCAAAAAAAAAAAAAAACAATTTAGGCTGAGCAGCAGCAATATATAATATTAAATGCTTTCCAACTTTGAATAGCAGTTCTAATGCAGTGCAGCTGAATTAATGGTTAACTGGTTAATCATGTATTTTATGAGACATAAATGAGCTTTACCTTATTTTCTGGGCAATGTATATCTTTTCTAACACTCTCCTTTTTTATATAAATTCAAAGTCTGTTCTAAAAGTGTTATTTTCTGTTACTTGAGCAGAAATCTTAGCCATGAGATACAGAGTTTCAACTCTCTGGCAGAGACTTAGCATTCAGCATTTGTGCAGCTCTGGTTATATTTGTTTTTTTCTCCTCTTCAGTATCTGAAGCAAAATGGGACAGTCTTCCCAGTGATGTGTGTGGGTATAGCAAGAAGACATCTGCAAGGTGTTCATTACAAAAAACCCTATGACTGTGAACTACCATCATTGTAAGGCTCTGTATCTAAAAACTTTCACTGCAAACCTAAAACATCCTCTTAGAGTCCTCAGGGTGTTGCAGAGCTTTTGGGGGTGTTGAGCTGAAGTACTGGGTTGTGTCACCTGTGAGAAGGAATTCAGAGAGGCCGGATATTTGGTGAACATCAAATATCACTTTGTCACCATCCTTTCCTCGCTGAGCAGCTCCTGAGAAGTGGTGGAGACCTAGCACATACAGGACAGTGCAGGGGGGAAGAGTTACACACCTGACTTATCAGAACAATTGCTGGGTTTTATTTAAACCAAATTATCATGCAGTCTTCTTAGTATGGCTGAGACCTAGGAAATTGAAGTTTGTTTGCTCAGGGTTGGTATTAAAGCTACCATGGTAATTTTTAACTCTGTTGTCAGCGATGAAATTTCCACCGCCCCACCCCAGAAGTAGCTGCAGTGTGCCAGCAGGGTACTTTTGGTGTGTTTCTGGCATCAGATTCTAGATCTTTTACTAAGCCAAGAGTCTCTGAATATTTGCCCTGCAAATCTACTTTACATATATGTTACTGTTGCAGCTGAGTGCCCTAAAATACAATTCTTTCCTTCATTCTGTTGTTTTAAGTCTGTCCTTGGTCTGTGAAGGAATGTCACATGTAGCCTTTTACTCATTAGTGTTCATTTGCTAGTCAGCCTTGCTAGTTACGCTGCCAGAAACATGCCCACCTAAGGAGAAAACCGAGCCCCCCCAAAAAATTGCTAGTTGGCAGCTGAAGGTGGCCAGCAAAGGGAAGTGCTCAGGCAAGTATCAGATCAAATGGTAATTACTCCTTTTACTCATATTGTCCTTCCCGAATGTGATAAGGGCATCTCTACAGCCCTAGAGCCTGGGCTGTGACGTAGAGGAGCTGTTACCTACTGTTGGCTGTGGTCTGAACAGCTCAGCTGTGTCACAGGTCCCACAGTCTCAGTAATGAGATGACGACAGGTTGTCTTTTGACTCAGGTGAGAGCAAGAATAGGAAGAAGTAGTGAGGTTTGTCCCTGCTACGTTTTTTCTGCTCAGAGTGAGGAAAATCGAGGAAGTCCTAAGTGTCCTGAATGAACAAATTCATTCAGGGAGAGCAGGACGAAACCAGCAGCGCTTTTAGATCTGGGATTTGGTGCTGCTTAATGAACCCAGAGGGCATTTGGAATAATTTTATCCCTCTTCCCAAAACTGGCCTGGGTGACCAGAGGTGGATGGGTGGGGAGTTCAGATAAATGGTTTCAATTTTGGTCCCTTTGTAGCTGACAGCATCCTGTTAAGATTTACGACCTGGTGCAGCATATGCATGCTTCACTGTAGAGGTTTAAATCATGTCATGTGAACTGGCCTTACCTTTCCAGTGGAAATAATGGTCCCCAGGTTCAGCACCAAGCAGGGAAATGCATTAATAGCACCACGTGCCTTAGGATAATGGTGCTATTAGCAGGCAGCACAACTCTGTGTACAAGTAATGGGACTGCATCTCTTTATAATAACATCTGGCACTTCTATCGCACTCTCATGCAAGGATCTCAAAGCACTTCATAAAAAATGGGCCTGATCCATAGCTGTTCTCAGCATAGCTACTCTGCTCAGTGTTTTGTTTTCTGCTTACTCTTCTGCCAGCTGAACGATGCCCGGGCAGGCTGATAACTCAGCAGTGTCTTAGCACAGCTAGGCTTTGTGGGAGGGTTGGGGCAGGGATGATTAGATGATGATGGAGCAGGATTAGCTCCGGGATGGCACTGGAAATAAAAAGAGGCATTGCAGAAAGGTTGACAGAGGTGTGTATTATCAAGAGAGTGGAATGAATGGCCATTGGCAAGAAGAGAGAACAACCTCGGTTCAAAGCAGAAAAATAAATTAAAAAAAAGTAAAATTTTGGTTCTGGGAACTTGAGTCTAAGGGATACAAGCTTTAGGGTGAAGTCCTTTTTTCTTCAGTCTTTATAAGACACCAATAGGACTTGTCCTTAATTCTCAAAATACTAAGGAAGATTAACATGATTAGTTGGGATTTGGTAGGTTGGAAATGAGGCAAACATAGACTGTGAATGTGACAAGATTTTGCAGCAATCTCTTGGTGTGAGAATGCCTGGGAGAAGGCTCCAGAGATGCCTGGGAAGGAGCATGGTGGGTGTATGAGAGAGGCTGGGTGACATGATATCCCCAGTAGCAGGGAAACACATTCCAGTGAGATGGTGACCTCTTCCAGGTCTGTGTTTCTATGATGCTTTTAGCAGCCCTGTTACCAAATAGCTCACCGGCATGACCTGGCAACATTGAAGAGAAAACCATGTATAAGGATCCTGGTGTACAGCGAGTGGCAGAGGCATGTCCATCAGCTTGATCTGCCTTTGACCAGCAGGAGCCTTGCATTGGAAATAGTCCATTTTTCTCTCGTCTGACTCTGCAGAACAGTATCCAGACAGTGAATTCACCCTGGATCTGTGTGTCAGCTTTACTAAAATTTGCATTAAATGGCTATTGTAACTCATCCAGGGATCAGACCTTTAGCCATGCTTGTTGGGTTTTGAATAGCAACATGTTGCCAGACCCATTCCTCCATTTTTCTGGTCACATCCAAAGTATATTATATGCATTCCCATGGTGTTCCCCTGCCATCCCCCATTTGAATTGCAAGTGCATATGTATGCCAAGGACACCAAAATTATCTGAAGAGGTTAGCAAACACCACAAATGTTCTTTCTCAGTGAGTTAATGAGGTGGTTGTCCTTTGAACTTCTTTTATTGTCTTAGATATACAGAAACTCTAAGTACTAGAGGATCGTTGTACCTAGATACAAACTCCTCATAGCTGAATTTTTCCCCATTTCTTTCATTCCTTTTTCCCCCCAATAAATACATATAAAGATCTATTTTAATGAAAATTAAGAGCTTAACTCTAGATTAATTTTTGGATGATCCACATGAGATAGCCAAGCTTAATTCTGCAGGGAAGAGAGCTCTTCCACCTCTGATTTCAACCTAACTTTGCTTGAACATGGGGCTGTAGCTATCATTGAAAAGTAGAAGGTTATTTTTTGAAAATGCTGGCTGTCCTATTCATGTTACACATGCTGCTCCCTTGAGTCAGTCACTTGAATTTATGGTCCAGGTTGAACACCTTTGAAAACTTTTGGGCAGGATCCTCAGACGGGGAAACAGCTGTATTTTCTGGGAGGTGATGCAAAATCCATCACTTAAGTTTTGTCCTTTCAAATCTGGTCTCCGAGATGTTGCTTGCATGGTTACGGTCTCAGCTGGGCTCAGCTCTGAATATAGAGGACCCCTGAAATTTCTGGGAGTTTCAAGTTGCTGGCTGGAGATCTGTCAGCTGTGGGGCAGGCTTCATGAAATTTGAGTCCGCCAGCTTGGCCTTTTCCTTGGGTCTGGTCTGTGCCCTACCATCCCCAAGAGAATAGCTTTTATGGATTTCTTTAGAAACTGATTTAGGTCCTTGCCTCACTTGGTGTTTGAAGTATTTGCCCCCATATGACTTAATTAGGTCATGCAAAGTAATCAGCAAGCCTCTGCCCCACTGTTGCATGTGGCATCATTAGTGTTTCTAACTTGCTCCATTATTATCCAAGGAAGAGTTGCAGAATTATTTTTATATCAGTATATAATGCAATTTAGCCTACTGAAAGGAGAGGGGGAAAAAAAAAAAGGAAAAAGAATCCAGCACTGATTGTATATCCCACAGGACTTAATTAGTTCACAGTTTCACGATACACTGGATAATGGGAAGATATGAATTAAATAATAAAAGGGAAAAGAAAAGTTCTGATGCTCACTCAGTACCTGTCCACTTCCACCTTGGCTGCATAATGAGATGTCAGCTACTGTGACACTGATGAGACGTGCAAAACACACCGATAACACATGTAAAGGATGCTCATGGGAAGGTTTGACCAGGCTTGGATGTCTCCGAAGCCATTATGCTTAGTGAGCCTTAGATTATTATTCCGGATCACTGGACCAGACCTAATCATCATGCAAGCATGCTGTTTGAGCAGTGTTTCCCTGCTCCGACTCCCCCCCCTCCTCCTCTGGCCCAGATGGGTGATATAATGTTCGTTGGAGGGCAGATGCCACGTATATTAAGTCAGTTGTAGGGAAGCTGAACTGGTATACTAGTGAATTCTCTACAACCCAACCCTCGAGGGGTCCCTATTAAGAAATAGAAGGCTAATAAAAAATAACTTGCTAGATAAAAATGCCATCCTGGATTATAGCTCTGCCTGGGTATGCTGTTCTGCCTTTAGTTTGTTTTTAAATAGGGCATTAAGGGAAGGTCTTGAGATTTAAGAAGTAGCTTAGAGTATTGAGGATCTGTGAATTCTTAGCTTGGTGATTGATACCGGGATAACTGCTTTGTTCACTTCTCAGCAAAAAAAAAGAAAGGAAAAAACCCCACAAGGGCTGTGTCTGAGATATGCACAGTCACCTAAGAGACC